GCTCTAACTGGAAAAGAAAAGCAAGAAATAGTCAATGTCAATACATCTTGTTTTAACAGGACAATAATATTGTTGTGTTTTGTTTTACCATAATACGGGTTACCTTGGTGTCTCCTAGTTTTCCCATCTCTTTCTAATAAGTACATGATTGTAACTGATTTAAAATCTGCTGCAATGGTTAAATTTCTTGGTTCCTTGCAGTGTCCTTGGTTTATTGAGTCTCCTTTTCCTTCTTTCAAGGTGCCTCGTCTCCTGACATGGAGTCTACCTATGGGGGAGGACTATTGGACATGATGAAAGGTGGTGCAGGGAGACTCTTCAGCAATTTAAAGGATAACTTGAAAGACACTCTAAAAGATACTTCTACTAAAGTGATGCAATCTGTTGCAAGGTACTATGAAATACACCCTATCTGAGATGTTCAGCAAGCAACACGGTCACTGTTAAGATGCCTCATAGAAATGATTAGGTGTTAAAAGGCTTGTAGGACGGGAAATTTGATTATTGAGCAATAGAGTAGTGAAATGAAAAGCATTTTAATAATTAAACTCAGTTCGCTAAAGTGAAACACAGACTCTGAAATTTAGGTAACATGATTACAGACAGTTCTTGCTTAGCTGATCGCCTTGTTCAGTGACTATTTAAACTTATGAAAGCACTGAAAATGTAGATTTGCGACTGGTCTTCGAACTTGAGGCTATGGCATTGTCCCTCTATTTCTCAAGTTCTCTCCTTTCCCAGAACTGAGTTTTCATTTATTTTCTCATCATGTCTCAGTGGCTCTTGCATACCTTTGTCAAGGCCATCTCTGTACTCCTTCGCAATTAAGTTGTCATATTCTAAATCCACTGAAATACATGGCACAATTAATTCAGGAATGTTAGACCCATGTGATTAGGTTTTTGAACAAGAACTGACAGCTCTAAGTGTGAGTTATTGGTGAGTGGTTTCCTCCCCCTCCCCGTGAAACCAAGGAGACACCTTTTTGAAACAAGACACTTTTCATAACAATATATACTTAGATGAATGCTGGGTCAGGACATAAAGACCCCTACAGTCATGGATGAAAATATCACTGTTGCTGCACTATGAACCATATTGCCATTCTCAACTATTACTGTTTCTAGTGCTCACAGCCACCTGCTACCTTCATTGATTGATTGATTATGTGCAATCAAGTCTGTAATGATTCTTAGCAACTATGTGCATAGATTTTCTCCATTACATATCCATGACACTCAGAATATGGTAGACTCAACATTTCTATTGATCACTAGATTGGAGAATAATTTCTCCCTCCCTCTCTTTATTCATTTATTTGATTTGATTTGTTAAGGCCACCCTATTCCAAAAAGATTTTGGATGGCTTATAACATCTAATACATTAAGTTAAAAAACACAACTAAAGTCACAGAACTGCCCTGACTAAAAGAAGCATACCTCAACTTTAAAAAAAACCAAAACTCAACAGGGGCTCCACAGGCACTTTCAGACCAATGCCTGGGAACAGATCCAGGTCTTAAGGTACTTCTGAAAGTCATAGAGAACAAGAGCTTTCTGTCTTGGTGGGGGGATGCTGTTCTATAAGATAGAGGCAGCGATAGAGAAGGCATGCTTTCTTAGTCCACAGGATGACAGCTTTTAATTGAGGTGACCTAAAATGTACCTGCTCTGCCTGAATACCACGGATAGGCAGAAACAACTGGAGACAGGTGATGTCTCAAATGACCAGGCATTATGATATGAATTGGTTATGACCAACAATTCAAATTGTCCTGGAAGCCATAGAACATAATAAGTGCCCATTATTGCTTGGCTGTTGCATTTTGAACCAGCTGCAGCCTTCGGAGGGCATCTTCAAAAGGGCAGCCTCATTAGAGTGCATTGCAATAATCCAACAGGCATAGGTGATGGGCCTCCCAGGTGAGGAAAGGGCACAACTGGTGCTCAAGATAAACCTGTGCAAAGGGCCTCCTGGCCATAGCTGCCATCTGCTCTTTGAGCAGTAGCTGACGATCTGAGAGGACCTTGAAGTTACATACCAGTCTTGAATAGGAAAGTGCAACCTCATCCAAGATCAAAAGTCTTCAACACAGTCTTGTTAGGATTGATCCAAAGTCTGTTCTTCCCCTTTCCTATGCAGACAGCTTCTAGACAATGGGCCAGAACATTGACAGCATTACCTGCACAACTTGGCTTTGAGATGTACATTTGAGAGCATTCTCATACTGTTTTATACTGAAGTGTGAACTGATGAGTGACCTTACCTAGCTGTTTCATATCAGTCTTAAATAGGAACTCCGAACTCTGAGATACCCCACAAATGAAGAAATATGATCGCTTGTCTCTCTTCTAATATTGACCTGAACAAACCACTAAGAAAGGATGTGAACCATTGTAACAAAATGACCCCCCTCCATTCCCAACTTCTGGTACACAAAAATACCACTGGAGATTGTATCAAAAACCCTTGAAAGATCAAGGAACACAAGGAGGGATGCCATAGATCATCAACAAGCATGACCAATGCTGTTCTACTAAAATCTGGCTTGAAACCTGACTGGAAAAGCGTGGAATTTAACAGAAACAATGAGTTCTTCTACCATAGGTTTTTAATGTGAAGCAAATGGAGTGGAGTGGAATGGAATAGGCTGCTGAACACTGTAATGAATATAGAATTCTAGTTTATTTAGTTTTTCTTTTTTGTCCTTATAATTGGAAATTTTTTATTAGGTAAATAAATAATAATAATTATTAGGTAAATATTACTGCGTTTAACCTCCATGTTTGTAATAAGTGTGGGAGAGGTGATTGGCCCCTAAAATATCCAGTGAATGTAAAGAAAGGTAATAATACATTCTTGATATTTTTATCAGACAGTTGTGTATGTATGCATTAACCAGAATCTATTTTGTTGTTATCTTCCTTTTCCTTTTATAGCTATACCAAGGGAGAACTAGATATTTCTTATATTACCTCAAGAATTATTGGTAAGTGATCAGTTACGTGAGTAATAGAGCAATGCAGCAACCTCCAACTTCTCATTGCCCATTTTATTTGGGTTTCACTTCAGAATATAAGTTTGTTCTCCCCCTCCCCATTTCTTGATAGTGATGTCATTTCCGGGTGAAGGAGTCGAACTGGGATTTAGGAATCATATTGATGATGTGCGGACATTTCTTGATTCAAGGCATCCTGATCATTACACAGTTTTCAATTTGTCACCAAAGTCTTATCGTACTGCACGGTTTCATAATAGGGTAAGTTTTGTTGAGGCAGGGATGTGGATCATGGTAAAGCTGTGATATTAAAATAATGATGTAGCTGGTGCCATGTCAATGTTCATGTTCATTGCATCGCTGACACTATCTAACCATCTCAACCTGGGTCATCTTCTTATCCTTTTGCCTTCTATCTTTCCCAACATCAGGGTCTTTTCCACAGCTTGCTAAATCTGAGTTGAAATTTCTGCGTTCACATAACGTGTTGTGCTTAGGGGTAACAGTAGGGACAATCATGTGTTTCAAAATAGTGGGTGAAACCATTACAGCCAACAACTTATTCTGTTTTACATGTATGTAAAGTCATACTGCAGGCCTTTTATCTCCTGCCTTTTGAAGGTCAGGAGTTTAATCATCACTGCAGATGAGCTGGATCATGCCTAAACAAATCACATTATGTGATGAGTTGGTTTATAGAACATACTTGGGTTTTAAAATATGCTAAACTGAAAACTACCTGACCTCTTTCTAGTTTTCTATTATGCTGCTCAAATCCAGCTGATTGTTACTATTGTTCTGACCTGTTTTCATTTTGTGCTTCTTTAGGTATCTGAATGTAGTTGGCCAATTAGACAAGCACCAAGTCTCCACAATCTCTATGCTGTTTGTAAGAATATGCATAACTGGTTGCAGCAGAACCCAAAAAATGTTTGTGTCATTCACTGTATGGTAAGTCAAGCAGTAAGTAACCATTTGTATGTAGATCTATACAGAAAAAATATTTGAAATATGAAGCTTGACATAAATTAATGTCCTTTTAATGAGTAAGGATTGCTGGTTGTTGAAAAACAACCGATGTAGAGTACAAACAATACAAAAAAGAACTAAAAAAACTGAAAATTGACTTGTGGCAATCTGTATGCGGAGAGCAATGCTAAACTTGACAGACACTGCAATATTTTGGGATATTTCTTTGTCCAATTCAATAAGAGCCTATCATGTTTTTGGGTTTCTCTCAGCTAGATATTTATAGCTTTAATGATGAAAAAGTGAGAGACATGGAATGTCTTGTTCTTGTAGTTTTATTCCTGCAGTTTTTTGTATTTGATCCAAATTTGTCTCTAATAAAAAAAATCATCAATTTTCCTATGCAGAAAATAAAACAAGATATTTGGAAGAAGAGATGTAGTCCCTAATAATAATAATAATAATAATAATAATAATAATAATAATAATGATGATGATGATGATGATGATGATGATGATGATGATGATAAAGTTGGAAGGGACCTTGGAGGTCATCTAGTCCAACCCCCTGCTCAGGCAGGAAACCCTATACCATTTCGGACAAATGGCTGTCCAGTCTCTTCTTAAAAACTCCCAGTGTTGGAGCATTCACCGCTTCTGGAGGCAGGTTGTTCCACTGGTTAATAGTTCTAACTGTCAGGAAGTTTCTCCTTAGTTCTAGGTTGCTTCTCTCTTTGGTTAGTTTCCACCTATTGCTTCTTGTCCCCGTAATGGTGTTTGCAGCATCTGATTTTTATAACTATATGAATAATATTTTTTTAAAAAAATTGGCTGCTTAGTGTATAGGGTTGTGTTCTTGCAGGATGGTAATTGATAAACTTTATATCATTTCCAAAGTCTTGCCAATTCACCTCATGAAACTTGTGATATTGGTTTTTCCTCACTGCTTTCTTCTGGAATGTTCCTTATTAATTTCAGAAGAGATTAAAGTGCTATGTCAGCATCAGTAATGGATCTTATC